ACTCGCAGCTGAAATGAACTCTGATTATCTCCGAGAATTGAATGCTATCAGCTCCTTAAGTGTTTCAGAAGCTGAGAAATAAACAGCTGGTCTCTGATTCTCTGCCTCAAGGGCAGTGCTGGACTGCTGTTCCTGTGGCTGCTGAGTCACGGAGACTGAAACCACTTAAAAATTTTATTTTATTTTTCGAGAAGCTCGGAGCCCATGACATTTCATTTGCTTGAGCAATCACCCTAGAATCAATCTGTTTCTCTTTAGAGAGGCGGGCGGGGTGGGGGGGGGGGGGGGGGTTGAGGGGGTGGCTGGGGGGGTGGGAAGGACAGAGGAGGGAAGTTCCACTAAGCAACAGGGAAATGGAATCTACAATGATTGTTTTTCAAAAAAACCCTGTGTGTAAGTCTGCGGTTACTCCAGGGCATGTGTGTTGTGACGGGACTTTCAATGCCTATGTTGGTTTGAACACGTTTCTCTTTATTGTGTTTCCAGGCAGGTGTCAGGAAAGGGCACTGTTGAAAGTTAGGAGCTTGTTCATTGCTGTAGAGGCACAGATGTACAGTTCAGTTCTTTGTGCTTAAAGGAGCATTGCCAGCTGCTGTTCGGAAATCTTTTTAGCTGACGATGCATGAAAAATTAAAACCATCATCTGAGCGCCAAAACCACGGAGGCTTCATTGGATCACTTGTGACCCAACATCTGCTGTGACATGAGTCTCAAGGAGTTTCTAGGAATTTGGGTTCACTGAAAATCTCCCCTCTCGGTCGATTGTTCTTTAACCATTAATGGTAAACCATCACCATTCTCCATTACCGATGTAGGTCCACAAAGGTTGTGGGTGGAAATTGAACTTTGACACGTATTTTCAAAACTGCTGTTGACTTGATTTCTTTATCTGTGCTGAGTTTAGCAGATCTCAGCCAGGGCAGCAGTTAGGGCAGGAGGCAAGGGAAGAGGGGGGTGGGTGTGTCTGCGAAGAATAATTTAGATTGCACTTATTGCAACATGAGTGACCTCTGCTACATCTCCTAAGCGTCTGGGACGCTACACAGAGTGAAGGACGCTGTATAAACGCAAGTTGTTGTTGATAACGATGGCTCTGATCGCACTGCTTAATGTAAGGGAAGCCCTCGCAGTAACAATTGGCTTCTGGGTTTGACGAGCGCTCAGATTTCTGACGGTTTTAATCAACTGCAGCTTGCTTTACACGGGTGTTTGAGATTGTCACCTTCCTGCTATCCTGTTATTAATCTCGCCCAACTATGTAGGCATTAACCCGTAGCTGTGCGAGTGGGTATGAACAAACCTAATGGCACAACAGCAATGAACTGATCTTTCAGGCCAGTCTGTGTCTCTTGTTTGAAAATTGATTTCTGTGGCGTGGACATAACCAACACAGTCACAGTCCTCACAGATCAATCACCTTGTGGTGCAGGGGAAGATTTTGCCTTTTGTTGTCAAATGGATTGGGAGCAGACGTGATCTTCACAAATCTAAAAAGGTGACTACCGTGTAGTTTTTTCTGGGTGATGGACCTCTCTTAAAGACGAATGGATCTTCTGCCTTTTTTTAAAATACTGCTGATCACTGTAAGCACTTTACCTGCTGTAAATATGATGACCTCCAGTGCAATAGATAGATGATGTGTTGTGCTGGTGTTATTAGTCCCCAGTGATCAGTTGAGGAAAGGTATAATGTGTTAAAATATCGGCCTCTGATCTGTGAACTCCAATGTAATAATGTTCAGTTGGTAGCCTTGGAAGTCCGGTAGCGTATTGGTTAGAGCACTCGCCTCACGAGCAAGAGGATCTGGGTTAAATTCCTGGGCAGGGCGAAAAGTTAAGGATGTTTCCCTACTCCGCACACTGTTTACCTAGCTGTAAAAAGGAACCCGCTTGTTAGTCCATTGGTAGATTGCTTTTCCAGGGGTAATAATCACTTTAAAAAAAAACTAATAATAAATTGGCCACTCAATCCACACGGCTGTGCGTAATTGCCTGGTGCATTTCTGCCACAAAACATACAGTCAATTCACTTTACATTGAGGCGCTTTGAGACGTCTCGAAGACGTGATAAGGCGAATATCAAATGCAAGTATTATTATTGTTAGGGTCACAAGGCATTGCGTTCGATCGAGCCTTGTGTCAGGATTTAAGGTCATAATCCAGACTGACAATCCAGTGCAGTGCTGACCCTAGTGCAACACCAAGGGAATACTGCATTGTTGGAAGTGTTGTGCTTTAGATTAGGTGTTAAACCAAGGTCCAATTTTACTTCCAATCATATGAACTGTAAAAGAGCAGTTATCTCTGGCTATGTTTCTCTCTATGTTAGGCATTTTTCATCCAGTGTAGCAGCTGTTTAGCGGCTGAAGGCTCGGTCACCAATAGTGGAGTAGAGTGTGCGGGGGATATGAAACAGGCCTGTGTTTGCTTGAGTGGATGGAGGAGCTAGGGCAGTAGGGTCCCAGAGAGCAGAAGGGGGGTGGTGCAGAGGTAGGGTGGGACAAGGTCTTGGAAGCATTGGATGTGTAGCAGGAAACCTTGTTTTTCTCCCCCTTTTACTTTTCTATATAGCATTTTCTCTTAAACATTGGGGGTGGCGGGTGCGTCGGGGTGGGGAGGCGGGAGGCGCTGAGAAGCTGGAAAGTGGGCTTCATTTGTTGTAAAAAGAATGTCTTAGCGAAATGGGTAGATTTGGCTTAGGCCAATATCGGCACCTTCGGTATTTCGTTGTTTCTCTTTAAAACAAAGTCCCACCAGCCGGTTCAGGTGGACATTAAAGATCATGCAACAGTAATTTCAAGCATGAAGGCAGTTTGTTTTGATGTTTTGATGTCCTGGGCAACAATCTCCCAGATACACTGGCGTTTTTGGCTGCCTGTGGGACTTTGCTGGGTGCAAATGGACTGCCCCGTTTGCCTACAAACGCACACAGTTGACGAGCAATTTACCTGTGAAATGCTTTGAGGCATTACAGAAGCCGTAGCAAACGTAAGATTTATTTTTAAACAGTTAGACGTAGGGTTGGGTGTTCCTCTTGGGCTCGACGTTGCTCGCGTAGATGCAACGTAACACATTTCTAGCTGCTTATGAAAGGGAAATAAATAAGCGGTCGCCGAGGTGATGACATGACCACACAGAGCAAATGTTCCCGCTGAGCAATCGTGGAGCAGCTGTCCTCCTAATCTCATCGTTATAACTAGATCTTATATTAGGTGTGATGTCACGTCCCAGTATTGATGGTGATCCCTTCTGCTGCCGGTGACGTATGACATTCTTCAAGGAGGCTCTGAATTGACTCTGGGTCGGTTTCATGTCGTGTCAATTTCAGATTCATTCTTGAGTTCCACCACCCGCAGGAGGAACGATCCTCAATGGAATCTGTGTTGAATTGGACAGAGCGAGAGTGAGAGAGGGAGAGAGAGAGATTAAAAATTCATTCTTCTGGCTTGCAAACTGCCAAATTTGGTCGTCTGGAATAAATTTGCCACTTTTCAAGAAATCCCTGTTAGAAATCACTGCACGTTAGACCCCATTGTTGGAAAAAACAGGCGAGGTGTGCATACCAGATGAGCGCCTGATATTGTTGCAGAATATTGGAGATTAATGGAGAAAAATGGCTCAGTAAAGTAATATCTTACGAGGTGCCTGCCCTTAACAGGTGAGCAGTGAATGCCTTTTTTGCCAAGAAAGTGCCAACAGTCGATGGGGCGATCAGTCAGTAAATTAGTTGCTGTGTTTTTGCTTTTTTGGCAAACGTTCTTCACCAGGTTTTCTCGTTTGGTGTAAGTGTGTGTGTGGTGGGGGGCAGGTAAGAAATGTTCTGGAAAATGTTGAAAGTTTTGTTTTGAGATCTGTTGACAAACCCCTTGGCGCATTCAGCATTGTGAAAGTGTGTCTCAACGTGCTACAGGCCTGCTAACACTTTCCCTAAAGCACATGTTGAAAACAGTGCTTGATAGTATCACAGAGGAGCGGTGGCTTTGCGTCACTTGCTAATTGTGGAAGCAGTCAGTGGGAGAAGGAGAATAGTGTGGACTCGAGGAGCGTGAGATAAAAGAGACCTAGCCTGAGTAGACCAATTAATTGAGGACTCTGTATGTTTGCCGACTACTACAATACCAACCACAATCTGCCTCTTGAGAGTCTTGTCCAGTATCACGTTGATAATGGTAAAGTACACGCACTGTGATTCCTACATGAAAATCTCCAGTTTTAACTTGAGTTCGTTTTTTGGAGGGGTAGCGATTCTTGACGGGGAGAGAAGCAGATTCAGACAGTGAGTCAACTCTGTGGTTTGGATCCATCAAAATGGATTAAAAAGGAATTGTACAGATGCTTGAAAAAGAGGAACATTAACATGCCTGGGAATTGAGTAGGAGAATAGGTTCAGACTTGATGGCTCATGTGGAGCAAAATGCCAGTAAGACTTTACAGACGAAAGGGTTTGTGTCAGTTCTGCAATACTCTGTGTTCCCAATGCCTCATTACAGTCGGAGCTTTGAACTCTGTCTTGGCTGACGTTCCAATAGAGCGTTCGGGATGAGCTGCATTGTCGGAAGTGAGGTTCCCTTTGGATGAGATGTTAAACCGAGATGCCATCTGCCTGTTTAGATGGATGTTAAGATCCCATCATGTTATAAGAAAGGGAAGCGAGTTTCTCCCAATATTCTGGCCAGCAGCTCCCCAAATAAAATCAGGTCCATTCAGTTCATGGCTGAAGATGGGACATTTTTAATGGACAAACTGGCACTCGTGACACTTCACAGCAAAATCCCCTGAAGCACTTTGAGATGTTTCAACAACATGATGGGACGTTAGATCAAATGCTTTTACTATTTATTGTTATTATGATTGTTATTATTATTGTTGTTGTTAGCTGGCTGCCAGGTAGAGGAGGTTACATGAAGGAGAGCAAAGGGGAGGGAAACTAAAACAAATGCAGTTTATTTTCCTTTGATGTGAATTATCATTAATCTTGCCTCCGGTATTTCTTCTGAACAGACTGTATCATGATGCTCCAGCACTTAGGACAGGGATCTGCCTCGGACGTCAGCACAGCGGCTCTCGTTCCGTGTACATCGCCCTCGATGTCCCTGGTATTTGAGGACTTTACGTGCCTCAGTCCTTTGGTGAAAGAGGAACTGCGGTTTGCCATTCAAAACAAGCGCCATTCCCAAGGAATGTCAACCATGGAATATCTCACAGGGACTGAGAGCAAGAGCGAAACATTAAGACAAGAGGTACGTCTACCCTAGTATGTATTTAAGATAGGAGTGTTGTTCGTACCATTGTTTGGGCAAGCTTAACCTCAGTAGTACACAATCCAATTACCTCCAGGAAATAACTTTAAAAAAACAAACTGCGCTCTAACCTTGTTATGTTTCTGACTGTGTTGCTGAAGGTGTGTTTGACGTCCTCAAATGGGCTTGAACCTGTGGCCTTCCGAGTAAAAGAGTTTCTGTGTCTTCATCCTCTCCTAGATTCCTCCCCACGAAGACGAGAGGAAAAGACGAAGAAGGGAGAGAAACAAAGTCGCTGCAGCAAAATGTCGAAATAAAAAGAAGGAGAAAACCGATACCCTGCAAAAGGTAAAAAAGCAGGGTCGCTCAGCAAAGCAACGCACAACACTGCCTTTCAGAGCGGCCTGTGATGTGGATACTCACTGAAACTGCATTGCTCTGAATTGTTAAAAGGATCTATTAACAGGAAAAAGTCAATTTGATACCAATAATGATCCTGGCATCTGATACAGCGTCTTATCACGTCTTCGAGACGCCTCAAAGCGCTTCACAGGATACACTGTAAAGTGAATCGAATGTATGTTTTGTGGATGAAACGCGGCAGCCAATTACACACAGCAGCGTCCCCCACAAACAGTCGTGGATTGAAGTGACCAATTTATTATTATATTTTGATGGAATTATTACCCCAGGAAAAGCAATCCGCCAATCGACTAACAACCGGGTTCCCACTTACTGTTCGGTAACCAGAGGCGTGTGGATTAAGGAAACTTGCCCAACGTTTGCCCTGCCGGGAATGGAACCCAAGTCCTCTCGCTTGCAAGGCGAGTGCTCTAACCACTGAGCTACAGGACTCCACAACGCGATGTTTACGTTCGACAAAAAATACAGGCACTGCACTGTACAGTATATTCCTGTGAAGAACTTTGAGACGTCCTGATGTGACAGGCGCTGTATCAAAAGTAATATAACAACAACTGCATTTATATAGTGCCCTTCACGTGGGGCAATGTCTCGGACTGTTTATTATATGGGTAGTGGGGGAAAGAGAGAGACATATAAACCCACACAAAAGCACACCCAAAGTACCTGGATATAAGAAGAATTTTTCACCCCAGTTGTCATAACATTGCAGGGCTGGAATATCTCGCGATTCTTTTAACTCAACAAAAGTACCGGGCAAAATGTCACCGTGTGATGAAAGCATATTGCCCATTAGTAACTTCAAATGAGTCAACACGTTAACATGATTGATGGCATGTAAATCCTGGCCAATGAGAACAAATGTGTGTTTGTGTGCAGTCTGAGGAGGAGGAAAAATTGTATAAATTGCTATTCATTCAGTAAAACACAAATGTGCATTCTGGCTGTCCGTGTGTTTGAAGGAGTCACTGTAATGGTTAGAACACCTCAGAGTAGCTCAGCCTATTATTTGTGTGTGTGTATGTGTTGTGTGTCTGTGTGTGTACGTGCAGGTGTGAGTTGCCCTCCACTGAGTCATAGCAAACCAGTCACACAGCTTTTCCATGTGGAGCTCAGCAATATTTCTGGTCAGACAGGTGGATTGGACGCTTGGGGCCCTCTGCGTGGTTTAAGCAGTAACTGCTTACCTCTCTGCAGATCCGTCAAGGTGGGTCCCAAACTCTGGACGTATGAGCGAGTTGAATGTTCATGAACCCAGATTCCAGGGATCGTGCCTTCCAGTTGCTATCATCCCAAGCTTCCCATCGGCTCATTTGATAGACAACTGGTGTTAATGCAGGACAGTGTGTGATGTGCCAGCCACCTTGATGTACTAGTCCATTGCCACACACCAGGCGTATTCAATAGCAACTGCTAAATCCAGTTCCTCCTCTGAGGAACTTTGGTAAATAGACATGAGCAAGATTTTGTGACTGGATAAGGTAATGGCATGAAGATTCGGTGACTCTCTTGCTCTTATTGCAAGCGTGAAATTCAAAACAAATTTTCCAAGTCGGTGAATTTTAGCAACAACCTCTATAATTAAATGGCAATTTAGCATTTAATTGTACAATTGCATTTGCAGGCGTTCCCCTACCAAACACAGTCACTTACATTTATTTGACAGTAAATCCTTGCAAGGCACTCTGAGTCGCCCCTCCTGACGTGAAAGGCCTTCAATCAAATGCAAAGATTATTATAAAGTTACGTTGTTCATCTCAAAATTAACTGTTTTTTTTTGTAAAAACAAAAAGTAAACGGCAGACGGAGCTCGCTAATCGACATAATTGTGATCCTCTCTTCCCTAGGAGTCAGAAAAGCTGGAATCTTTGAACGCAGAGCTGAAGGCACAGATAGAAGAGCTGAAGAATGAGAAACAGCAGCTGATTTACATGCTGAACCTCCACAGGCCGACGTGCATAGTCCGGGCACAGATCGGACGGACTCCAGAGGACGAAAGGAACCTTTTCATCCAACAGATCAAAGATGGAACGCTACAGAATTGAACCATCGGGGGTGGGGGGGGTATGAACCCCGAGGCCAGAGTCCAGAGTCTCCCAGCAGACACCAAAGACTGTCATAGCTCTGTGTTAGTACATCACTAACCTGCTAGAAAAGGATCATCTCAGTCGGAAGAGCTTGCATTTCCAGCGTGAAGAATTTCTTCAGTTTTTGCTGTTTTAAAAACTTGTCGAGATGCATTAAGAGGAATCAAGCAAATTGGGGGGTGGAGGCGAGGGAGTGGGGTGGGGGGTGGGGGGGGGGGAGAGACACGGGAGAGGTTTATTAAAAAAAGGGTGAAAACAAAACCACTCCGTCCGCCTTGATTGTAGGCTGCACAGTTATTTTATTTTATCTTAGTGACGCAGGCGTCCTTGCTTTGTTGCTCTTTGTCGCTGTTCATGACCTGTGGAGATCATGATCTTCTGGGTATTGTTGCTGTATGAACTCATGCCTTGCAGCTTTTCTGCCTGGACCTGTAACATTTGCCATCAGTTTATACGCCATATTCCTGCGAGTGTGCCACAGCGTTTGGAAGAGGAGCGGCAATTATGATGAGCGAAACCTATGCATGTATATGTTCGAGTGCTAAAAAGAATTTCGAGTGCTATATATATATATATATATATGATTTTTTTTCTACCCGGTCACAGCTGAGATTTGTATTTGATACATTTTAATAATAAAATATTGTTGTATATCAATGACGACATGTTTCTTGACATACATGTGTATAGCGCCTTTCACGTCGGGAGGACGTCCCGAGGAGCTGGACAGAGTATAGCATTTCAGACCCGAGCTGGGGTTGGGGGGGGGATAAGGGGAGGGGAAGGGGGGTGGCCGATGGCAGGGTCGAAGAGGAGGGTCTTGAGGCGGGACTTGAAGGAGGCTAAGGAGGGGGCGAGGCGGAGTGATTATTAACACTTAATAATACAAACGGGCGGAGTCAGCCCACACTTATTTTTCTCTTTTTCTTCTTCCCTTTCTTTCTCACTCTTAGTCACTCTTCCCATCTATTTCTCTCTCTCGTCTTTATCACTCTTGCTCTGCCCTCTGACACACTCTGTAGTCATCTATTGCCTCGGACGCACCCATTCATAGCCCCACTGAATGTCGCGCCTCTCTCTCTCTCTCCCCCCCTTTTCTCACTTTCACACAATCTTCTTCCTCCCTCGAACTCACAGTTCTCTCCCTCTTTCTCTCTCTGGGGTGTCCATGGGATCTATTTGGCGCTCAAGTTAGCTCCACACAGTATGAGCCATTCACACTCTCCCTCCTCTCACACTTGGAGCCACCATGGCTTGCCCTCCCAACACATGGAGGTAGGACAAGGCTGAAGTTGGATTGTCTGGTCAGTGAGGGACTGGGGGAAGTAGGATGTGCCTGAGTGCTCAGGTATGTGCTGTGGGTGAGAGAGTTTGTGCCGGATAATAATAACAATAATCTTTGCAATTGATATAGCACCTCATCACGTCTTCAAGATGTCTCAAAACGCTTCACAGAACATACTGTAAAGTGAATTGACTGTGCGTTTTGTGGAGGGAGACAATTGGGCACAGTAGTTTCCCCCACAACAGTCGTAGATTGAGTGACCAAATTATTATAAACACATATATATTTTTTGAAGGGCTTAATTCAATCCGCCAATCGACCAACGACCGGGTTCCTACTTACTTCAAGGTAAACAGAGGCGTGTGGAATAAGAAACTTGCTCAACATTTCGCCCTAACCTCACCCAGGTTGGTTGCGAGGCGAGTGCTCTAACCACTAAACTACAGGATGACAGGAACCTGGATCCTGGAGATCCCGTGTCTTTTTTTTTGAAAAGATGAGATTTAATTCATTGGAAATAATAATTAAACTTGTTCGCTCATTATTTTCCTGTCTTGAGCTTCATACCTCCCTGTGCTTTCATGGTTCTGATCTCTTATTGCTCCATTCTGCTCAGGACTCATTCTACCCCTTGTGCTAATCATGCCGCCGCCTATCTCCTGCCTGTATTGGAGTCTCTCTTCCACCCACTTAAAATGTGCATTTTCCTGTTCCTTTCCCCTCCCAGCAGTCTCCGTATCACAAGATCGGTCTGAGGGAAGAGCGTCCTTCAGCCCATCTCATGATCTCATCCTTCTAGAACACTCACCCTCCTATCCTTCCGTCACAGCATCAAGCGTTTTTTTTTAAAACATGAGTCCAGTGTCCTGACCTTGACCACCCATGATAGCAACAGAAATGCTTCCTGGTGTCTGTCCCGAAATTGCCCTCTGACATCATGCACTTAGATTTTCCTTCAAAGGAATCAGGCACGGATCTATATTGGAAAACTTCAAAGAAAAAAAAAGGTGCGGAGATAAAATGATAAAACAATGATAAAGATAGTGGCAAAACAATGGCCGAATTTGTGGCAAAGCTGAATTTAAAGCTACCAGGTTAATATAAAACAGGCGATGAACAAAACAGACCAGGGTCTGACTGATAGGACAACAATGAGTAGAATTTTGTACGCATGTCTGTTCTGGGTCACTTGTAGCTTACACTACTCATTGATGCTATGAAGGACAAACCTATTCTAGCACTTCCTAAGTGATGTCGCCAGTTCACCTTAAGTTATTAAACTTTATGGTATGGAAAATGTCCAATAATAACAATAACAATCCTTGCGTTTGATATAGCGCTTTTCACGCCTTCTAGATGTCCCAAAGCGCTTCACAGAATATACTGTAAAGTGAATTGACTGTATATTTGTGGGCGAACGCGGCAGCCAATTGCGCACAGCAATGTCCCACAAACAGTCGTGGATTGAAAATGACCAATTTATTATTGTTTTGTTTTGGAGGATTATTATTAGGCTCTGTGTGGAGTAAGGAAACTTGCCCAAGGTTTCGCCCTCTGCCTGGAATTGAACACATAGTAATCCATACTTATTGAGAAATCCGGTTTGAAGCCATCCTTATAAACAATTGATCTTACCATTAGAATTAAGATCGTTCAAAAATGAATCCAGATAACAGTTAGTATAATAATAGTAATACTCACCTTTACATTTTATATTGCGCCCTTCATGTCAGGAGGATGTCTCAAAGTGCTTGATGGGATTTAGAGTACTGATCTAGAGTACTGTATTTTGTAAGTGAATGTCGCGAGCAATTTACGCACAGCAAATGTGCCCAGTGATTGTGGAATATACTGCCACAGAGACACATAGAATGAAATGAGGCGTTTCACGTGGTGGGTTGTTAAGTATGTGGTAAGTAAGGGAAATGGACAAAAAGCCAAGGAAATGGAATTTAAGAAGCTGAGGTGAATTAATACCTGCCCTATCTGCCCCACCATCGCCGGATGGGCTTTCATCCATTCTGCCTCCCGCTCTCTGGAATTCCATCCCGGAGGCCCTCAGACTCGCAATCTCCCTCCCCTCTTTAAAGGCGTGTCTTGGCAGGTACCTCTTCGACCGACCACACTTTCGGTCATCTTCCCTTCCTCGCTACCCTCAGCCCCTGCCCCCCTCCTCCCTAACCGCCACCACCCCCCCAGCTCGGACGCCCATTGGGCAATGTGAACTACTTCGAGACGTCCTCCCCACGTGAAAGGCTCAACATATAGTCACATCAACGTAAGATGTGTTGTCTTGTATGCGATGAGGGAATACGTTCCACCAGGTGGCGCTCTGCATCCATTTCTTCTGACCAAGTCACTTTTGTAGCCCGCCCGGCCACTAACTTTATCACAGTACGTTACACCTGGAGAACATAGTCAACGTCCATCCTACGATGGAAACCAGGGGGTTTGAGATGTACAAATACCGTACAAATTTACATGTATATAGAGTCAGGGCGGGGGGACGTGCCAAAGTGTCCAACAGTACTGGCCGGGCACCTGAGCTGGGGAGCGGGAGGCGAGGGGAAAGGTAACTGAAAAGCACAGTCAGGAACGAAGGTTTCAGTGGACGGTACAACATTTTTGCCTCACGGAAGAGCTGGTGATGTCTCCGTCCCAAAAGAACAGAAGGCTGAAATGCGCGACAAAAGGCATTAAGTCTTATCAGCACAATACTGCCCTGGAATTGAACCCGGGCCCTCTCGCCGAGCGACAGGACTCCACGGTCGAGAGGCCTGCAAGAAGCAAAATGTGAAACCAATCGAAGGAGAAGCTGCAAAATGCAGGCGATGTAAACTTTCATTTATTGAGGTCATTCAGTTGCTTTGCAGGCGGCTCACAACTTGCAGATAGATCACGGTCTATCGATGCCGCAGATCAATAAGACTTGAGGATCACTTGAACCGGCAGCAGGCGCAGAGGAAGGAGGCAGATGGGGAAAATGTGAACCGGATCTGAAAGGTTCTTTGGCAGTCAGGCATTTTCTGATTCAGTTTGTTTCCTTACGAGTTTTATATTTAACTCATTGGAAAATACGATACTAGCACCAGCAGGCCAAACGTTGAGGGAAATTGGTGATATTTAATATGTAAAAATATATATTTTTATATTTCCAGTGTTGGGGGAAGTCCGGGGAAATTGCTTGGATAACAAGATCTAAAACTACAGGACCAGGTGCTATGTCCTAGGCGGAGTCTGATCATCTCATCAGCATAAGCAAACCCTCTCCTCGTGTCTCTTAGAAAGACACCGTCTGCTCACATTTAGGCTCGCACCATGTTTTATCTTACTTTGGGTGCAATGTCGCTATGTAGTGCCATGGAGAGGTCAAAGCAAATACACAGTCAGCAAGGGCTCTCGGCTGGACTATTCTAAACACCCTCCTCACTGGTCTCCCATCCACTACCATCCATAAAATCCAGATCATTCAAAACTCTGCCGCCTGCATTCTCACCCGCACCAAACTCCGCTCCCCGATCCCCCCAGTGCTGGCCAGACTGCACCGGCTGCCTGTCCCAGAGAGGATCGACTTCAAGATCCTCACTCTTGTCTTCAAATCCCTCCACTCCTCTGCACCCCCCGACCTCTCTGACCTCCTCTCTCCTCAAAACAGTACCCGTTGCCTTCGTTCCTCCGTGTCTGGCCTCCTCCCTGTCCCCCGAATCCCCGGGATCCGTTACAGTGAAGCGCTCTGAGACGCCGTCCAGCGTGGAGGGCGCTATGTAAACCCATATATATATGTTGTTGTGGTTATATCATTTCGAAAAGTGGGTGTTAAAGAAAAAACGCCTTGGTGAGTTAATCCTTTAAAAATGTAACCCAAGGTTTTTAGAATGGGGAACAGCGATTACGCTTCCTTCAGTG